ACCATTAACAATGCTTAACAATGATTATAAAATTATTGCTAAAATACTCGCCGAGAGATTAAAAAAAGTACTACCAAAATTAATTCATCCAGACCAAAAAGGATTTGTTAAAGGCAGAAACATAAGTGATGCAAATAGACTGATTCAAGATATTATTGATTATGCTGATAATGAAGATTTAGAAGGAGCAATTATATTTCTAGATCAACAAAAAGCGTTCGATAGAATTGAATGGGGCTGGATAGCAGCAACATTAAAAAGATTTAACTTTGGTGAAAAATATTGCGATTGGATAAAAATGCTACTTATTAAATCAAAAACATGCATTAAAACTAATGGATTTGCAAGACAAGGTTGCCCTATAGCTCCATTACTTTATGTTCTTCAAATAGAGCCTATGGCCTGCGCAATTAGGCAAAATCCGCAGATAAAGGGCATTTTAATTCCTTATGAAGAACAACACATAGAATGTAAAATAAATATGTTCGCAGACGATACTCAGCTATTTAATAAGGACGAAGAATCTATAATAAATTCCTTCAATGTGTTAGAAATATATGAAAAAGCCTCAGGGGCAAAAATCAATTTCTCAAAAACAAAGGGCCTGTTTATTGGCAAATCAAAAGGTAAAACACCAAAATTTAAAAAGATACAGTGGATAAAAACTAATATAAAAACTTTGGGGGTATATCATGGATATGGTATTGATACTAATGCAATTTGGTTGGAAAAAATAGAAAAAATAATGAACAGCTTGCATGTCTGGAAAACTAGGAACCTTACATTCAAAGGGAAAACCTTGATAATAAAAAATTTAATAATTCCAGTTATTGGCTATGAAATCGAAATGAGGGGAATACCGGATAAATATGCAAAACAATTAAACGATATTGTCTGGTCTTTTATTTGGGATAATAAATTGAATAAAATTGACAGAAATGTGTGCTGCTTAAGCAAGAATGAAGGAGGGATGAATATGACAAATATCTTTAATTTTATAAAAAGTAAACAAATAAAAACAATTTATAAAATCATGCATTCAAAGTTAGAAACATGGAATGCTATTGGTAAATACTGGTTACGGAGTAAAGATATGCATTCAAGTCAGGAATATTTCTTATGCACTTGTTCAGATTTATCTCCAATTTTCTTAAATAAAATGTCTATTTTTTATAAAAAAGCACTCATCGCATATAGCGAATTTCAGTCAAAATTTGAGCCAGAGAATCGAGAGGAAATACTTAACTTATCACTTTTTGGTAATAAACTTATACAATTCCAAGGGAAAAACCTATATGTGGAATCATTTATTAAAAGTGGTTTATTGAAAATTAAAGACATTTGGAATGATGTGGAAAATTGTTTTAAATATAATGACACCATTTTTAATGAATTATTAGACAAAAGATGTTGGATATTTGAATATAGTAAAATAAAATCAGCCATTCCTAAACAGTTTTATCCAATATTGAAAAATAACAACTCAGTATTTAATAGCGAAATAAAACTCTCTTATAAACTGAATAATAATTTACTCATAAAAAGAGATAGTAATAAAGTGGTAACCTTTGAAGATATCAAGTTAAAGAACATAGAAAAAATATTGAACAAGACAATAATTCCAAAATGTCAAGAAAAATGGGAAAATATTTATCAAAATAACATACAGTGGGACCTAGTTTGGGACAGTATTTCAAAATTGAAAGTTAAAAATAAAATTCAAGAATTCCAATGGAAATGCGTGCATAATATATTGTATACTGAAGATAAATTATGTAAAATCGGACTATCCAATATGGTTTCTGCAACTTGTGTAAAAATCATAAAGAAAATCAACAACACCTCTTTTTCCATTGCGCAAAAGTGAAAACAACACTCAAGTTACTAGAAGATATAATTGAAAATGTACTACAACTAAATGGAACTTTACAAATTGACCAACAAACAATAATATTAGGATACTTGAAGGAACCGAAAACCCAAAGAACCGTTATCAACATTTTAATATGTATTTATAAATGGGTCATATGGAAAACAAGAAATAAAATTAAATATGATAATTTAAAAATAACTGACTACAGTATTAAAAATGCATTCAAAAATGAAATGAAATCGAATTTTTTACTATTACAATCACAGGATTTGACAAAATTCAAAGAGAAAATAAATCATATGTTTCAAAATTCCTTGGGATTCTAATACCATGCAGTTATAGGGTTATTGGCATTATCTGCTGCCGTGATAAATTATACATACATGTATTCACATTCATTAATTAACTATATGGGCTTGGCACACTAGGTTTTTGTTTTTTTTTTCTCTCGGTATTATCTGCTGCCGTGATAAACTATATATACATGTATTCACACATAGAAGTCCACTATACGGCACACTATTTTTTTTTATTTATTTATTCCTTTTTGCTATGTTATTTTTCATGTAACTGGAAACATTATGTTTAAAATATGTTCAAAATGAATAAATTAATAGATCATCAAATGAAAATGTAATGCCAGATTCAAACTATGTATGTGAGGAAAAATATTCATGTCTTTGTAAAATTCATTCATTCTGATGTATTATTATAATCTAATTTTATTATCACAAAACTCTACATATTGATCTTGTTTATAGGTTGTAAAACACAAAAAGACCCGTATTTGAGGGTGACCTGGCCCTAAATACTAGTTACAGTGAGATTGATATAGACTTCTTTCTTTTTTTTTTCCACACAATCTCCACTGCAACAAGGGTCATATTTCTATTGGTGTTAAATGCATACCTTGTTATTATATATAAAAATGGTGCTAATTTGCTTTGAGATATTTATGTATATGTATGAAAATGAAGCGTCAATAATCATATATTAGTATAATGGTGTTAAACGTATACTTTGTTATCATATGTAAAAATGGTGCTAATTTGCTTTGAGATATGTATGAAAATGAAGCGTCAATAATTTTATATTAGCATAATGTGAAAAAATTCTGTTCAAATTTTGGAGATATATTACATAATACTATATCGATCCAGGGAGCTCCTGGCACCCCTAGTGAGGTATTATCAGAGGGCTTCTGCGGAAGTTTAACCTCACTGTTATATTGTATGTTATTGAATAAATAATTGGAAGAAAAAAAATGATTAAAGGTGTAACATATGTTTTGGGTCACCCTGTATATGTTAAAACCTTACTGGTAGTCCAAGGCAACATAAAAGCTATGTTTGTTTCCAACATTCATAACCGAAAATATGTTAATGGTAAAAAAAACTTATTTATTTAAGTGAAAAAAAATTTAATCCACAAAAACATTTACAAAAGAATTTAATTGGGAGACATACCAAAATCAATAGAAAAAACATGACTAGAAACGATTACAAAACAGTGGTCTCTCAGCGACAATATTGTTATAACACACCGGTGTGACAATGCGGTAAAATCAGTATTAATATATACATAAAGAGTTTAATGATAAACAACAAAGCTTTATGATAAACTTGATGACTAACTTTTCAATCATAAACTTCCTTCACTTATGCAGCAATATATACAAGATAGATTAAAGGTCAATACGTACTGGTTCCTACTGATTAAGCAGGTAACGACAATGTCTTCGTTTGTAAGGCTCATTATATTAATTCTACAAAGGGTAATCTAACTTATACTCATACATCTCTTCCTAAGGAAGAAAGTTTTTAAAATCACGTCGGTTTTGAATATTTTTTACATCCAAAAACCAAAATGAATTTAAACTACTACATATATACATGTACATGTATATACTGGATTCCGAAACTTAATAAAAATCCTTACAAACAACAAAGATATATAGCGGGTTCCAATAAATGTTCAACCAACCCTCTTTATTTACTCCTCACTTATAGATATTAACCCAGTGAAGGAGAAACTTCAAGAGTACTGTACAACAATATATTCAAGAAGTGGTGTAAATCAGATGTGGATATCTCAAAATTCTAAGGAACTTTTGGATAATTTGAAATCACCAGATTTTACCAAGATCCAACGGCTTAAAAACTTACGTACGACTTTTCAACTTTATAAACAACCATTCCCCACGATGAAGTGAAATCCAAGCTTTTTGATATCATTGACAACCGCTTTTAAATAAAAATGGAACTCGTAATTTACTTACACTGTCATCGGTCATTTGCAAAATTATGTTGTTAAAAAACAGTCTGACCGGTCGGCAGGGGATGCTCATACCAACATACCACCTGATCCCACCTCTGATGATTTGGAGGTCCGTGTTTGCTCTGCTCCTATTTTGTATTGTTTAATGGACTTTTGATCTTGAATATTCTATCTCCATATGTTTCACTGAATTGTCGAAGGATTTTTTCGTTATTTTCTGATCATGACAAGGGTCACTCTGCAAATAAGACTGGTTAGCAGGGGATGCTCTCTCCTCTATGGCACCTGTTCCAACCTCTGATATTTTAGAGGTCTGTGTTTGTTCTGCCCTTGATTTGAATTGTGCAATTGACTTTTAGCTTGAATACTGTTCGTTATCTTCATTCATTTCATGCGCTAGTATTTTATAGGAAGTTTTGAAATCTTAGCTTGCAAAAAAGTATAATGCAGTCGAATGTGTGGAGATAACGATTAGTATTCCAGCTCAAAATTCAATTACAAGATAGAAGGGAAGCAAAGCATCAGAGGAGGGATCAGCTGCAATGATTTTTTAGGTTTATGAAATAAAATAAAGAAATCTCACTTAATGCCACTAGTTAGACCTTTAACAATACTACATACACTGTAGATAGTTATCACAGTTTATCAATTATTTCTTTTTCCAGTTAACCATTCAGATACTGTTGTGTCCCTTATGATTTACTTTAGTATTTTTGTGAGGATGGCATCTCTAGAGGAAATAGTTGATACAAAAGATACGGAGATTTCACTATATATGAAGAAGATTCTGTATAATTGTTAATATCAGAAAGAATATATTACAACTGCCAGTATTTGGCGATATATATTCTTATGAATTGTAGTATCTTCTTCCCCAGACGGAAACTTCACATAAGCTTAGCAAATTTCCATCATGATCTGTCATCATTCTATCCCCAGTAATCTTTATTGTTACAAATCGGCCGACAAGGCAGGAGGCACACTGGATTTTATACCACTGACCAAGTTCTGCAGTCTCGCTAAACAGACCACAGGTCTTCATCTCCTCCCAAATAGTCAGGTTTCCTATCCGGACTTCAACGTCATGAAAAAACTCCGCTTAAAACAAAGATAAAAAGTGTATTCATATTATTGTTATAATTACTGTTTCTGATTGCTCGTGTAATTAACAATTTCAGATAGAAATACTATTGTTGTATATTTTACCTAAACAATGTCATGTACAATATATCTGATAGTTTCGTAAAAAAAAGAATTGACTTATTGGAATCAGGACTTGCTCCCAAGACAAATCACCCCACATTATTTAAAGTTGTCCTGAATAGGTGGCGAGTTCTCTAGGGAGCGAGTTGTCCAGAATTCGTCTGATTGACGATGAAAAATATAATTATGCAAAAAATATTCTACAAAACATTTAAGAAGTTTAATTCTCACAAATATGAAAGGTTTATTTCGCTCATGGGCTTCAGGCTTTTCCATTTTTTTAACAAATAGTTTAATTTGGTATTTTTCTATATATTACAGTTGTATATCATTTCAAAAACTCGAATTAAGATTTACCATCCTTATCTCCTCTTGTTAGTTTATTTTCTCATGGATTTTGGTATTTTGCTATATATATCTGTTCAAAAACTTGATTAAAGATTTACCACTCGTATCTCCTCTTGTTAGAAGAAGTAGGTGATCAATGTAGAACAGGTTCTGTAGGTCAATTGTTAGGTGGGGATTGCGTTCATAACCATCAGAGTGAGCACAGTGCTCTGGCCCACTGACCGTGACGATTCCTATACCATCAACAGCGTTAAATGCATCTGAATCCGATCTCCATACAGAAGACAAATTGGCTGGTTTTCTTAAAGCTACATTTCTATATTGCTCTAGATTGAAAGAAAAAATGAACTTCAAATTACTTGAATAATTTTAACGCTTAATATTAATAGGAAACAAAGGAATACAAATATTTATATGAACCTTTTGGTAAGCAAAACAGTTTTCCGGAGGAAAGGTAAACACTTTGAATGGTCTCTTCACAAACATTAACCTGAAAAAAGTAGGTGTTTATTAAGAATAAGTAAACCCCGAAAAAATCCTCTTTAAAAACATAATCAGAAATAAATGGTGTTGCATATTAAAACAAAAAAAAAAAAAAAAAAAAGAAAAGAAAAAGATCAGCAGTGGCCGATCTCAAACAAGAGGCCCATGGGCCTTAAATATCACCTGAGCATCATGCATCATGCAACAACTTTCAAATGATTGAATTTGGTTCATGTTCATGTTTTAAACTAGATGCTATGGCATTCACAATTTTGAAAGAGGCACCATTGCTAATCATAACTATACACTTAACAATTTTTTAGTTTGTTTACTTAATGTCCATAAGCAGGGTAGGGGAACAAAAAATGCGTTTCAACTAATCAGTAATATTCAGCAATAATCAGAATTGCCCCTACCACACTCAAACACTAGAACCAGGGGCCTAGAATTTCACAATTCTGGAAGAAGAGTCCTTGCACATCATAACTATATAGGTTGTTTATCTGCTTATTACCCAGGAGTAGAGGAAAAGATTTACATAGATGTATTTTCTCTATACAATCATTATAGAGCCATAACCCCTGACCCTGGGGCCATGAAATTCACAATTTTGGTAGAAGCATTCTTGCTCATCATAACTATGTACTTAGTCAGTTTATTTGTTACCCAGGAACAGAGAAGAAGATTTCCAAAGAATTAATGCATTTTCACTATATAATCAATATAGTCCCGCCCTGGCACTAGAACTCCTGACCCTGGGGCCATAAAATTCACAATTTTGAAAGAGGCACTCTTGCTCATCATAACTATTAACTTAGTTGGTTTATTCAATCCCCAGAAGCAGAGAAGAAGATTTTTAAAGAATTAATGTATTTTCACTATATAATCAATAGAGCCCCGCCTTAACACCAGAACCCCTGACCCTGGGACCATAAAATTCACAATTTTGAAAGAGGCACTCTTGCTCATCATAACTATGTACTTAGTTAATTTATTTAATACCGAAGAGCAGACAAGAAGATTTTCATTCAAAGATTTAATACATTTTCACTATTTACATGTAATCATAGAGCCCCTCCCTAACACCAGAACCCCTCACCCTGGGGCCATAAAATTCAAAATTTTGGTAAAGGCACTCTTGCTCACCATAACTATATACATAATTAGTTTATTCAATACTTAGGAACAGAGAAGAAGATTTCCAAAGAAATAATGCATTTTCACTATATAATCATTATAGAGCACCACCCTAAGACCAGAACCACTGACCCTGGGACCATAAAATTCACAATTTTGGTAGAGGCATTCTTGCTCATCATAACTATGTACTTAATTAGTTTATTTAATACTTAGGAACAGAGAGAAGATTTTCAAAGAATTAATGCATTTTCACTATGTAATCAATAGAGCCCCGCCCTATTATCAGAACTCCTGACCCCTGGGGCCATAAAATTCACAATTTTGGTAGAGACACTCTTGCTCATCACAACTATGTACTTAGTCAGTTTATTTGATACCCAGGAGCAGAGAAGAAGATTTTCAAAGCATTTTCACTATATAATCAATATAGTCCCACCCTAGCACTAGAACCCTGACCCTGGGGCCATAAATTTCACAATTATTTTAGAGGACTCAATGCTTATTACAATCATACCAACAGATTGTCTGCTTGATGTCCAAGAGTAAAGAGGAAGATTTTTAAAGATTGCACTAATTTTAGTGGTTTTTGCCCCACCCCTAGGCCCCAGGGGGGCAGAGACCATGAAATTCACAATTTTTGTTCCCCTTCACCCACAGATGCTATATGCCAAAATTGGTTGAAATTGATTCAGCGGTTTCAGAGAAGAAGCTGAACATGTTTAAATGTTTACGCACGACGCATGAGGACGGACGAAAGCAGATAGAATTATCAAGAAATAAACTCCACTAACTTTCAGAGTTATCAAAGAGAAAAAAAATTAAAAATGGAAATATTAGTCTATTAATTAATCCCCTTTTAACACGACATTGTTAATACAAGTATACATTACTGTTAAAAGGAGAACAACAGAAAAATATGTGCTGACTATGTATAAATTTAAGTCATTATAAAAGTGGGCGTCCTCTTTATCGCACGAAGATAAAGGAAAATATTTACATTACGTGTATTTTTCCTTATCAAATCCATTTGAAATCCACGACGTTCAAATTTCTATAACACATGCGAAACCTTGTCACCGCGCGTTAGAATACACAGTAGGTACTATATGCATTTTCTATAATCTAGGAAGACCAAAATGTACAATGTGTTGACTCAATTTAATCAAAATATATCATCCTGTTAAATTAATGTAAAATTACTACAAATGTGCGTTTAAAATTAATTTGTCACTTTTTTCCTCGCAATGTTTGTTTGCGTTATTTAACTTTGCTACGTCATCTGACGTCACAAACGGCTCTTACGTCTATTAACCACGTCAGATTTGAAGGACGCTAAATTCACATTAAAGATTAACTAAATCAGTAATTATGAAGCAGGAAAATTAGAGAATGTAAATATAAGCATTGAATTAATATTTTTAGCTGTCTTCGGTCCTATAACACACCTGGCCATGCCAACAAATTTATCATACCGCGCTAACGCGCGGTATTCAATTTGTCGGCACGACCAGGTGTGTTATAGGACCGAAGACAGCCAAAAATATTAATTCAATGCTTAATTGTGTTGACCCCTCCCCTTGAAAACAGCTTTGCAAATACATACTTTTATTTAGTTTGATTAAGTAAAAGTTGTAGATTATATGTTAATCATAAAGTCTTAAAGTGTAGTAATCTTTTAAATAATATGTACGAGTTTCTTAATTAGATACTGAGAAATTTGCATTCCGTCATTTTAATATGAAGATATAACGCAATGAATACTTTAAAATAATTTTGTATATATAAATTTCCATTGCAATAGTATAGACGTGAAAATAGCTGAAATACATGATACATCATGTAGAAAATAAATTTTAACAAAATCATAAAACATGTACGTGGACGAATATTCAAACATTACTTTATTACCTGGATTCTTTTTTGACATTCTGTCCCATTCCAAAGTTGTGTAGGTGTAATTTCTTTATTAACACTAGGTGCACTCAACAATTTACATCGAAGTTTTTCTTTGTTATACTCCACGGACAGACAGACACTGATTTGGCCACATCTGTTAAGACACATCTGGTTACCTATGGTATCTATAACGTCGATCACACCATCTTCTACGCAGAGAACAACGACAATCGAATTCATAAAAAGGACAAATGCTGTGGCAATAAATTTCATTGTTCAAAGTTTTTTTTCCGACATACATGTAAAAAAAAATAATGAATCTGAAATAATTACAGAGACAAGGAATCTTCTGCGCACCTCCAATAGTAAATGAAACAGCTGATTGAAACACTATTTATTATCTATTTAATTAATTATCATGAATGTAATAGTGTATGTTGAACGACAATTCTCCTGGGTCCATATTCAAAATGTAGCCATTAACACAGTTATTATATCGGAAAACCTATGACACGTCAATCATTGAACATCTTCAAACGCTTTGGTCTTACTTGGTGGTAGCATAAGAGTAATTCTAATTAAAATTATATGTGTGATCCGCTCCAGCTAGATTTGCTACACTTTGTAAGTTTAAAGATAAGATTAAAATGAATACAGTAAGGTAAAACAATTAAAAACACCTGATATTTGATTAAGACGTTGGATGATATCCTTAAACCCTAGAGAAAGTAACACATACCTCTTAAAACATCCCTCCTTCCGACCATCCAACTATAACGTGTTAGTCCGCCGTGTATAAAATTTGCAGCTAGCTTTTTATAATGCTTTAGGCTGATCAATCTCTTGATCTGAGCGAAAGAAATATTCTTAGGCATTTTTAAGTGCCTGGCCTGGTCGAATTTTCTCTAATCTGGCGGAGTGTAGTTACGCTTGGACCACCGTTCAAAGAACTATTATTCCTAATTGTGGAACGCATTAGCCTGATTTAGGGCATATTTGCATCTGCTTCGTAACCTTTATTTGAAATTTTTCAGCAAGAGCAATGAAAATGCATGCTTTCAGTCATTTTGAGAAAATATATTCTTTAATTCTCTTAAATGTACAATCATACATTGTAGAGAGGATGGTAGGAAAAGATACACATAGGAAAAGAATATGTATAATAAATCGTATAAAACGTCATTTAAGATTTAAATCAGTTATTTCTATCTATGATTTGTTTGACAATCACTAAAAATTTACATATTTTTTTCAATACTGAACAGTTTGTTGTTGAAAAAAAGTTGTTTGAATTTCTCTATATTTGGCCTGCATGTGAGAAAGTTTGAGATATATTCCTTTTGTGTGCATTCAAAAACATAGTGATATTCATCACCAATATTATAAAGATCATATAAAGTACAAATCCTTTGTTCTCTTGGGAGACCATTCAATCTCCCACTTTCAATAAGTAAGTTGTTTCATCTAAATTTACATAAGATTAATTTTTATCTAGGCATATGAAGAAGATATCTTTCTGGTTCAAGTATTTCTTCATAAATGTGATAATTACATGTAATACTTTTGGATGAATTAAAAAAAATTCCGGTTTTGGATATTTTAGTCAACAAGTATAGGTCCAACTTTGAAGCACTTCACTCGCATTTGGTGAATTCCTTGTGTTAATGAAAAATTCACGAATGTGACTTAAGGGGGCCGACTATAGTTTCCATTGCGCAATACTTCGCCCATCATAGTAAAATGAAGCGTAATTACTGTTTTAATGCAACTTTTTTCGCTTAATTATTAAAATTAAACAAAATTAAGA